AGAGATATTTTGTGGCAGCTGAAAAGACTTGTACAATGTCCTCCATCTTTTCCCAGGCCTTGCTCAGAAACTGACCATCTCCCAGAATCCACCTCTCATTTTGACTACAGTTGACAAGGAGGCTAATATGTACTGTGAACAAGTGACCACTGACCATGACCAGATGTACTGGTACCATCAAGAAGGGGGACAGGGTCTGAAACTTATCGCCTATATAATAAGAGGACAAACAGATGCTTTCTATGAGGGGAAAAACAAAGACTTCTATGAAGTGGGGAGACACAAAGGAGACAAGTACAGCTCCCTGAGGGTGAAGCCACCGACAAATGGGAGTCAAGGCGTCTACTTCTGCGCCTCCAGTGATGCACAGTGACTGAAAACAGCCTGGAGGCTTTGATCTAACCTCCACTGCCAGTCACAATGATAAGAACACATAGCACTATTATTGTTGGTTATAATAAAGAGAGGTAAGCAAAAGTATCCTCCCAGAATAAGTCAATATTCAGGAGGTCAAAATTGATATTTCAGCTTTTTTCTTTCACGTGACTTCCGGTCCTTTCGGGTCATGTGACTTCCATTCCTTACAATAACTCGGCAGCTCAGTTTCTGAAGCAGCTTGGTGACAATGTTTCTTCTACAGAAGATTCTCCTCTACATCACCATCCCGTCATGTAAGCAAGGAAGAACTACAGAATATCATGAAGGGTCAACCTACTATTCCTTGTACAATCTCCCTTAAGCATACCAAAACTATGCAGTATGGGAATCTATAGAAACTATCCAACCAATTTGTAGCCGGTCAAGCAGAGAGATCTAAAGGAGATTACACAGTGAAATGTTACATGTGTAGGGATCTTAAAACGTATGTTTGGGTTCTGGGTGGTTGGCGAGAACCCCTTGTGATGGCTTCAGCAGATGGTATGCTCCAGGAGGAGATATAAAAAGCTGGTGGGTGAGTCATCTATCTTGCATCCACCCAAAATAGGAAGAACTGTTTCGGAAAGCCTGATCCCATATTGACCTATTCACAGGTTGATACATGAGAAAAGTAAGTTGGATTAAGATAAGAGTCTTACGTTGTCTTTTCTCTCTGTGCAGGTGTGGCTCAGACGGCGACCCTCTCTCAAACCCCCCAGCTTATTGTAAGCCGCCCCAACAGGGACATTCGCATAGACTGCACTCAGGTGACCACAGATCATGGCTACATGTTCTGGTACCACCAAGGACCCAGCCGGGAGCTAATGTACATGGTCAGTATTATTCAGGGACAAGATCCCATCTACGACGGCATCTACAATAATCAGTCGGTCTATGAGGTGGGGAAGAATGAAAACAAGCACATCTACCTGAAGATTAAGTCACTGACAGCCCAGAATCAAGGTGTTTATTACTGTGCTTCAAGTGCTGCACGGTGACTGAAAACAGCCTGGAGCCTTTGATCTAACCTCAACGTGAAACTCAATAGGAACAATAAGTGAGCTCACACTAATGAGCAAAACAGTGGTGGCAAAGTAACATCTGATAAACATATTACATATCATTGAACGGAATAGCCCTGTAGATATCATGGGACTGGATTTGCCACTTGGCCACATAGGCTGTGACCCAGGGTGCCATTGCTCCTGGGAGCAGCATTGAGTTCAGGATTATTAAGGGGCGACATTCGCAGGGCACATCTTTCTATTTTGGGGGGCTAATGCCAAAAACTAATGTTCTTAATAGATATATTTTTTCCAAATAGAATGTGGCCTACTGTAATAATACATTATGGCCATTAGATAGAGTTGAAGAGCATATGAAATAAATATTTATTTGGTTGGGTGTATTGTGCTGGAATGGTCTGCAAACTGCCCCTAGCTCCCTCAAGTGCCCCCCTCACCCAGCCATCTGCACGGCCCCCAGCTTCTTTGAGGGCCCCCCAGCCAACTCTACAGCTCTCATCCCCTCTGCAGTATCTTCCATTTTCTGCAATAACTCCCATCTCTTTTCAGTGCCCTCCAGAGCTCTAGAGCTCCACAGGTAAGCCAGGAGGAGAGAAAACAAAGAACACATATGAGTCTAGAGGGGAGGATTTGTGGGCGGAGACTGATAAGAACAGCATGTTGTAGTCCTTCACATGAATGAGCACAGAGGGTGGCTACTTTTCAGCCCACATAGGGACCATGGAGAAGAAAAGTAGCCACCCTCTGGCAGGAAGTTGTGACTGGAGAAAAATAAAACGGATTTTGAAGCATTTAGAGCTGAACAATCACATTATTTACATAATAGAAATTATTTTTAATATTTAATTTCTGAGTTTAGTTGCTTCAATATCCCCTCCCCCTTGCATTCCAGAGGAAAATTTAGTACAAATAAAAACATTTCTTGGAGAATTGGTCATGTTTTATGCAAGCAACTTTTTTGTGACACTAAACATGCATCCCAAACTTTAAGGATCAATTACCAAATAGTAAATAAATGGGGGCTTTGAATTGATGCATCAGTTTAAAGCCCCCCCTCATTTACTATTTGGGTATATGATGTGAGGAAACTGTAGCTAATGGCCAGAAAACATATAGATTGGACCTCTCATTTCTCTCATTTCTGAAAACAATTTGCCAGCAGCGTCTCCTGAGATCTCATGTGTTCTTCAATGTAGAAGTCTATGAGGGTCTGTCCATTAAGAATCCAAAGAGATACTTTGTAAGAGTTGATAAGGAGTGTACTATGGCCTCCATATCTTCCCAGGTCTTGCTCAGAAACTGACCATCTCCCTGAATCCTCTTCTCATCGTGGATCAAGTTGGCCAGGAGGTTCTGATGAACTGTCAACAAGAGGCCACTAACCACGACTGGATGTATTGGTACTACCAAGCGAAGGGGCAGGGTCCAGAGCTTATCGCTTACATGAGCAAAGTGGAAAAAAAACCCAGCTATGAAGGGAGCTACAAAGGAGACTTTGAGATGGGAAAGAAAGAAGACAAGCACAGATACCTGAAGATCAAGTCCCTGAAAACTGAAAATGAAGGGGTTTATTACTGTGCATCCAGTGCTGCACGGTGACTGAAAACAGCCTGGAGCCTTTGATCTAACCTCATCCACCAGTCCGTATCAGGGAAACACATAGCACTACTCACACTGATACAATAAACAGTCATAATTGTTTATTCTAAAGATACCTCAAGACATAGAGCACATTAACCAAAACTTGTAGATCATCGACAGTTTGTATGTCTGTATGCATCTCCATTACTCTGGCCAAGCCTGTTCCACCTCCCTTCTTCATAGGTACAGACACATAGAGGACATTCACCCAATCCGGTAGGTCAGGGACTGTTTGTTTGTCTGTAGGCTTCTCCATGACCCTGGCCAAGCCTGCGCCATCTCCCTCCTCCATAGGTACAGACACAAAGAGGAAATTCACCCACTCTGGTAGGTCAGGGACTGTTTGTATGTCTGTAGGCACCTCCATGACCCTGGCCAAGCCTGCTCCACCTCCCTGGCCAAGCCTGCTCCACCGTAGTCCTTCAAACGTACAGACACATAGAGGACATTCACCCAATCTGGCAGGTCAGGGACCGTTTGTGTGTCTGTGGGCACCTCCAAGACCCTGGCCAAACCTGCTCAACCTCCCTCCTCTATAGGCACAGACACAGAGAAAACATTCACCCAATTTGGTAGGTCAGGGACTGTTTGTATGTCTGTAAGCACCTCCAAGACCCTGGCCAAGACTGCTCCACCTCCCTTCTTCATAGGCACAGACACATAGAGGACATACGCCCAATCTGGAAGGTCAGGGACTGTTTGTATGTCTGTAGGCACCTCCATGACCCTGGGCAACCATGCTCCGCCTCCCTTCTCCATAGATACAGGCATGGAGGTTCACCTGATGTTGACCTGTATTTTTGAACAATGCTCTTCCAGTAGAAAGGTTGATCAATGGCCAGGTTGTGCGTTCCTGCCTGACAGATGTCCAGTGTTATAGGAAGCATAGCTTAGGAAGTCTATCTAAAGCCCAAACAATCTGGTAGCTTTGGATAAAGTGGGGATGAGTTAGGACTCCTGCCAGATTTTCATTGCTGTTTGTGTCCTTGGGACATCTCTGTGGAGATTCTCACTCTCTATTGGTTCTGGTAATCATTGTCACTGGACAGAATGTGATGGGAAATCCAAAATGTTACATTTGCTTCCAGGACATGAGGTAAAGGAAAATCTTCCAATGGGGATGCCTATTCTAGTGGCAATGGTCTAAGATGGGGTTTTATTTTACTTTGGAGGGATTTCCTCTCACTTCCTGTTGTGTTTTTGGGACAGGAAGTGAAGGAAACTCTCCTCAACAGGACACAGACACTGAAGAAAATCCTGATAGAGACTTCAACCATTCTCTAATCTACAGTATACACACCAAAATCTGTTTTGGGTCTGCAATAACCTATATAACCATTCCCTATTCTATACAATACTAAAACAAGTATAAAAAAGGTTTTAGAGATACTTTAAAGTAAATTTAAACCCCAACTGAATGACATTTAGTTTGCTAAAGCACTGTGTATCATAATCATTTGCCCATAAAATACTTTTCGACTTTTATTGTTGCATCTCACTGGTGCTGGTCTCCTGAAGCCTCTTTGCAGCCCCATCCTGTCTACATGCGTTGCAGCGATGGCTTCATGGGTGGATTTCCTGATGGTTACAACAGTGGACCAGGCTTGCATTATGTGTGTTGGCTCAACCCCTTGTTTTCTCCATTGGAAGCCTGACCGAGTGACAACACAGGAGAAGAAATAGGAGACAAAGACAAAATAAACCATTTTATGGAAAAGTTGAGTTACGTTAAAAGAGTTGAAATAAAATTAGGTTTCAGGGATGCAAATACTGAAATGCCTAATTTTATATACAAAATCAGTAATCCCGTAGACAATGACAGGATGTACCTTTTAATGTGAAGTTCGGTTGCTGGTCACATGACTTCCTGTCCCTACAGCTACTTGGTATCTCATTTTCTGAAGCAGCTTTGTGAGAATGTTCCTTCTGCAGAGGATTCTCATCTTCCTGGCTATTCCTCCTTGTAAGTAGAGAAGGGGACCAACTGGGTAACAAAGGGTGGACCTTCCTAAAACCTTTTATTTCAGTTTTGGGCTGATGGCATTGGGTTAGAACACTGGAGGACTGCAGTGGCAAAATGTATTCCACATAATTTCTACTGACTTCTCCATCATATATAATTTACTAAAATTTTGTAGAGGGGAAACCCTTGCAGTGGCTGTGGCAGGTAGGTAGATGAAGCTGGCAAAAAAACATAGGCGAAGATATAGGCAAAGATATGTGTTGGCCAGAATACCTGGTATGTATAGGAAATTGCAGGGCAATTTAGCCATGTGGCATCCAACCAAAATTGGAATGTCAGTTGTAAAAGGATTGACCATTTAATGTCAACAAATGGGAGTAGTTTATTTCATTTGGTATAATAAAGTTAGTCATTCATAAAGAAACTCTTCTAATGTCTCTGTGCAGGTCTGGCTCAAACATCGATCAGTCAAAGCCCCCCGCTCATCGTTCGCAGTGCCAATGTGGGGGCTGAACTGCACTGCGAACAGGTGACCACAAACCATGACTACATGTACTGGTACCACCAAGGAGCCAGCCGTGAGATGAAGTATATTGCCTATAGTTTCAAAGGACAGGAGCCCACCTATGATGACATCTATAAGAATGAATCAGTCTATAAGATGGGCAGCAAGAAAGGAAGCAAGCACAGCTATCTGCAAATCAAGTCACTGACAGCCCAGACTCAAGGAGTTTATTACTGTGCATCCAGTGCTGCACGGTGACTGAAGACAATCTGCAGGCTTTGATCTAACCTCATCCACTATTCTCAATGAGAACACCAAACCTGCTCACATGGACTGGATTCTGATCTATGCATATATTACACACATGTATATAACTGATACTGGATGACTGGACCCTGATTCTGGAGGACCTCAAAGTCTACTGCAGGTTTTCTCAACCAGGGTCCCTTGGAAGCCCAAGGTTCCTCCAGAGGTTGTTAGGGATTCTATGAGCAGTGGAAGGAGGACTACAATGTCCACTAGTGTTTAGGGGGTCCTTCTTCTTCTGATCACTTATATAAGGGGTACCTCTCCCACTGGTCCTGGACTTTTTAGGTACTAACTCAAAACACTTGTCTAGTTTTTAACAAAAAATATTTTATTTTTATACAAGGCAATTTAAAAACGAGATAAACAACACACATACAATCTCTGAAATAGTAAGAAATGTCTCTTTATATGCTGTATATGAGAACTCCTCCCAACGTACACATCCAATAAACATATTTTAACATCCATAGTTTTTATCAGGTATAAAACCCTCTTTACATATGTGAAGCACATTATTGGTTGAAGGGAGGGATAATGGGATGGGATTCACTCAACACGTTTCATGGATAGTGATCCACCTCGTCAGGAGTCTTTGAGGCGTTGATATACTGCCTAAGTCAACATGTCTGGAGGGCGAACATTGGGCCACCAACAAGAAGCACTCCTTGGGTCATACAATCGGCATCCATCTCCCACGGACCACTTTATTTCAACTGCCCTGCTTATCTCTTCCATCAAGTGTGGTAAAACAGATGGGGGAATCTTAAGCATTGGGGTAATAGTTGTAGTCTGTGGGGAGGGAAGAGCCCACCTCCTCCTCACAGTAATCCGACACCACAGTTGCCGGTAGTGTGGCCCAAGGGGTATTTGTTGTGTGACCCAGGGGGTATTTGTTTTTGGTGGCCCAATGTTTTACATCATAGCCCTCGGGGCTTCTCTATAATGGGGCAGTCTGAGGAGGTTTCTTCAGGCGGCATCTAAGTGGGTCATGTGGGGGGGGCAGAGCTTCCTTGATCCCTGCAATGCTCTGGCTGGCTTCCCGCCCAGCTTACTGATGTCAGTAAGCTGAGCGGAACTCTATGGCTGGCATCCCGCCCAGTTCCACGCAACCAGTGACATCAGTGAACTGGGCATCATGTCATGCACCAAGAGCTGCTAACTCCCCACTCCTGGAATGTGCACCAGGAACCAACACCCCCTTCCTAGAAGGTGCCCCAATAGCAACTAATTCCCCCCCAGAATGTGCATCACATGCAATTAACATCAAAGTTTCCCCTTCCCATCAGGAGCCTCCTTCACATCAGAAGTCTGCCTGCACCATGGATAGGCATGACACAAAATTCTTGAGGCACCGCTAAGGAAGTAAGAAGGCACCGTGGTTGAGAAATGTTGGTCTAAGCTTCAGCAGATCAAAATCAAGTCTCCGGCCAGTCAAGATTGTGCCATGTGGCAGAGCATTGCACATCTTAGGAATGGATGGACAGAAATACAAATTAGGTAAAACAGCTCCTGTATATGGATTGCATCAGAGTATTTAGCTGCTTGAGCAAAATGAATACACAAAGGTGCCAAACTGGACTGGATGAAGCGGTAATTAGTTGTTTGTTTTTATAACCTGGAGATCGGTATTAAGCCAGAATGGAGACATGGCGTTCATTTTAGATATAGTGCATTAACATTACAAATCCATGGGGAGGCAGCACTGACTGCGATATAGAAAATAGGTATGGGTGGATATTAAAAAAATGTAGCGTGTAGGATTGTGTAAGTACACGTACGCTGCTTGTTTTCACAGAGTGTAAAACTTCATCGTCACCATGGGCCATGTGCTGCGGCTTGTGATCTGCTGTGCACTTACTTGTAAGTATTACAACAAGGACAGTACCCTTTGTGCGCCTCATTGATACCTCTGTGTTATGATAGATTCCATATTGGTTTCATCTCCAGGGAAGGATAGCTGAAAGCTTACTGGTACAGAATCCCTCCAAAGGACCAAGCTCCATCTTGGTTCCTATTGGCATAAAGTTTGCCTATTTCCCTTTATCTGTGTTGGTTCTCCCCATACCGACATGTCCAAATGAGCTTTCTGCAAGACTCAGTGTAGGAATTAGAGCGTAAGCTCCTCTGGGGCAGAGACTGAAGAGCGTGGCAATATCATGCACTCCTTAAATGCCTGTGTAATATACATTGTGTATAAATTCAGGAGACAAGAGGATAGAATAGAAACATTGTAACCAAAGAAATATATATGTATACAAAAGAAGAAAGCGGTCTACCCAATAAGTCACAGTTACATACAAAGGGACAGTGTAAGCCTAATGGTCTGCAGGTAACTGTATGTGGTTAATACCTGTACTCAGAGGATTCAGTATTTTTTTATATGTCACATGTCTTTATTTATATTTGTATCCACATTTATCTGCAGGCCAAGCTGTCCAGGGGGTTGGAATAAACCATATAGCAATATCAGCAACACACTGCTGTGCCCGCTTCATGCATTTTTTGCACATTTTCAGGCTTTCTGTTTCAACCAATGGAAAGAATAATACTAGGAGGATGAGATAGTAGGTAGAGGTTTAATTGCATGAAAAACATGGGTTACACACATAGGTTAATCATTCCCTCATCATGCATTTGTCCTGGGGCCCTCACCCCCTTCTTTCAGACTCAGCAGTGCCTGGACTTCCATACTGCAGTGGTACCATGTGACATCATTGCCGCTTTCTACAGTATTGTACTGTGAGACCAGGCTGACCCCCAGGGTTGTGTCCATGACAGCATGTATCTACAAGTGATGGGTTGAATGGCACCGGCCATCATTCAGCCAGGAACGGACAAGCACACTTCTAAGTGTGTCAAATACCTTGTCCTAGGCTGGGTGCTGTGGTCCCTCCCGCTGGCCTCTGCATCCTGTAGTGGTGTAACAAGGCTTGACCGCTCATTTAAATACTTACATTGATTCATTATAATCACATAACTCATTCATAATAATACTCATTGACAAATGGGACTAGTTTAAGAGTATTGCATTCCATAAAAGATAACATTAGCCTAAGAGAAAACCACTATTAATGTCTTTGGTGTCTTGTAGGTCTGGTTCAAACATCGATCGATCAAAGCCCGCCGTTTATTGTAGAAACCATCAACTCGGAGGTCCAACTGGAGTGCAGGCAGGTAACCACAGATCATAACAGCATGAACTGGTACCACCAAGGAGCCAGCCGGGAGCTGAAGCTCATTGCCAATATTCTGAGGGGGATGAGCCCCACCTATGAGGAAGGCTACAAAAATCAGTCACTCTATGAGGTGGGGAGGAAAGACGGCGACAAGGACACCTACCTGAAGATCAAGACACTTACAGCCAAAGACCAAGGAGTTTATTACTGTGCATCCAGTCCTGCACGGTGACTGAAGGCAATGTGTGGGCTTTGATCTAACCTCAGCAGCCAGATGCATCCAGAACACATACTCTGCCCACAATCACTCGATACAAATCTATTCCTTCATTTCCTGTGTTCGTAGAACTGTTATATCACACAGAGTACATAGAACTCTTCACATCAGCCACTAAAGTCTGCATCAATACATGTCCCAGTATAAAGCAACAGTATTAATAAATCATTAATGTAGAACTAACCCTTGCACTGTGGCTACCACCTCTGCAGATGTTAAGTGCTAGTTTTGTCTAGGAGGCTCAAGTCAAACTGTATTACTCACCTCATCAAGCCCAAGTCAAGCTGTATTACTCACCTCATCAAGCCCAAATCAAGCTGTATTACTCACCTCATCAAGCCCAAATCAAGCTGTATTACTCACCTCATTAAGCCCAAATCAAGCTGTATTACTCACCTCATTAAGCCCAAATCAAGCTGTATTACTCACCTCACCTTCCGGCTTCCTCTGGGCTAGACTGTCCCTACAGTCTCTTCTTCCCTGGGCTCTGAGGTTTAAGGACCACTGATGTCATCACATCTGATGAAGGTTCATTGACCTGCATTAGATGTGAGGATGCTGAGGGACATTCCATAACTGGAGCAGAGCGGTGAGCTCTTTCCGAGGATCAGGTGAGTATATCTGCTTTATTTGAGCCCCCTAGACAAAACAAGCACTTAACCCTTGCAGTGCGGGGGTAGCCCTACTGCAAGGGTAAGTTTTTGAATTTCTCACAGAGTTCTTCTTTAAAGAAACCCTGCCACCAGTTTGTACTTCTTGAATTAGACTTGCCTCAAAAAGTAAGGTCCGCTTTTTAAATGTGGCACCCCTCCCCTTGCCGAAACACTGAATAAAACCTAAAAACACTTCTGGGTGCTTCAAATGGGTTTTGTATTCCTATGCTAGTCTATGGGAATGCAAAGTCCAAGTCAAGTTAAAGGAGAACTATGGGGTCAGGGCTTTTCCCCATAGTTCTCCTTAGGGTAACGGGAGGACACAAACTAGCGTCCTCCCGTTACCCTAAGCTCAGTATACCGCGAGCTACAGCTCGCGGTATACTGAGACGCCGCAGCCAGAACGGATCCCGACATCGATGTCGAGATCCGCCCAGCTGCGTGAGTGACAGCTGGCTCTGCCTATCTAGAGGCAGAGCCAGCTGTACCCGCCCCCTCCCCCGTCCGTTCCACCAGTCAGCGCTGGAGGATCGGAGCGGGGAGGGGGGAATCCAGCCCCTCCACTGTCATGGCAGAGGCGTGACAGGATCGAGAGGTGAGTGAATGCCGGTATATGTTCGCTCACCTCCGGTTCTACTGAGCCGACCTGTGACAGTCTCATTGCCACATGTCGGCTAGAACTATGAGGTGAGTGAAAAGCACTCACCTCATAGTTCTCCTTTAAATGCATCTGTCAATGAATTGTAAATGATCTCAGAAGTGTGTTAAACTGATGTAGATGAACAGATGTGTCCCTTTGCACTGCACTGACCATGGATTAAACTGATGTAACTGGTTCTCTGCCTTTTCTATAGGCCTGCGCAGAAATTAATATCAATGTATCTGCTGATTGATTGAAAGCTTTCCCATCAATATTTTATTTAAGGAAGGTACTCCAGTTAATAGCTTTTAAAAAAAAACCATTGCAAGCACCCTGATGTGGCCTATCTCAGAATGTACAAAGCAGAAGCACATAAGAATGCTCATAGGTTTGCTATATTCTCTGCAATGTATATAGTTGGCCAAAGAGGGGATACTTGGACAATTATTTTCCTAGGTAAAAAGTATTAGTTGGGTCAGAGAGAAGTATGCAGCAGATACAACCCTGGACAGAGTCATGGTAGGACAACTGAACAGAAAGTAGAACTTGTTCCAGCAAATCCGGGAGAGTTGGTAAGTATGGTTCAAACTGTCCCAGGCGCTGACATAAAGGATCCATGTGGGGGCAGCACTGACTGCAGTATAGACAATAAGGCAACAACACAACCGTAGCAAGTGTGAATTGTTGGGAGGGAATAATGTGCAAAGTATATTTGTGCTGCTCGGCTGCATGAACTTTGAAACAACATTGCAACCATGCTCCCAACATGGAGACTTCTCATCTGCTGTATATTTACACCTTGTAAGTATTGAAACCAAGATTGTACACTTAAGTAACAGGATCTAAATATATTAATGTATGTAATGAGTGTGAAGACCGATTCCTTCTCAATTAAATTTTCAACATCAATTTAAAGCCATTGATAGGACAAAAAAAAACACACCCACAGTGTTGACTAAGGCTATGCCATATTGTCTTTCCGCTATCAATAACCTTTGGCTTGATGGCTTGGCTGAGTGGTAAGCATACCTTTCGTCAACAAAGTCTTGGGTTCATTTCCCGGTCTGCATGGAATTTGAATGTTCTGATTTGCCCCTGTTGTCTCCCTAAGACCAGTCCTGTAATTTTGATTCGGGGCGGATCATCTCTAACATGGTTGCATGTTTGGTAGGGATGTTTTAGAGAGTAAGCTTCTTTTGGGCAAGGACTAATGAAGATGGCTCTATCATGTACTCTGAAACAAGCTATGTTATATATCTGATCTATCGACATTTAAGAACAATACATATTGTCCTAAATTTTTGTAATTCAAATATAATCTTTTTGCATTGCTGTCAAGCATTCGGATGGCCTTAGGTTGGTCAAGATAGCGGTTGGATGAGAATACCAGTTGGGTCATGGTCACTGACTGGAGCTTCATCAGCTGTACATTAAAATTTTTATCAGAGAGATATCACTTTCATTTTAATGATCTCAGTCTTGTTAATTTCCTTGCTATGTATCCTGGAACACATATTTCTAGTGTACGTATCACAATGCAAGAACTAGAGCTACTGTAAGATCCAACTCTGACTTTTCGGAGAAAAACTGACCATGCCATTGGCTGAGATCTCATGGTGCCTGGAGACAGATGTCTATGAGCACCTCTCTGTTATGTATCTGAAGGAATATTATGTAGCAGCTGATAAGAACTGTGCAATGTCCTCTTATTTTTCCAGGTCTTGCCCAGAAACTGACTATCTCCCAGACTCCTGCTCTCATTGTAGAGAAAACTGACCAGGAGGTTCTGATGAACTGTGAACAGGTGACCACTAACCACGACTGGATGTTCTGGTACCACCAAGAGAAGGGACAGGGTCTGAAACTGATCGCCAGAAAGCTGAAAGAACAAGAACCCGACTATGAAGGAAAATATAAAGAAGTCTACATTATGGGAAGTGAAGGAGACAAGCATAGCTCCCTGAAGCTTAATCTGGCAGCTCAGAGTCAGGGGGTCTACTTCTGCGCCTCCAGTGATGCACAGTGACTGAAAACAGCCTGAGGGCTTTGATCTAACCCCACCTGGCAGTCATAATGAGGCACTAATAATGCCATAGTCAGCAAAACATTTACAGTGCCCACAAATAATTTATTAATTAAAGAGTACCTGTTGCTAGAAAGTGCCATGAGGGGATGGATAGGAGGTGCGGGTACTGCAATGGCAAAAGAGTGCCTCTGTTCCCTGTGATGGCCCCACCTAACCCCCAAATCCGGTAAGCAAGTGTCCAATTTGTTTCCAGACACAGCTCAACCTTGCTCTGTATGCTATAATGCAATATGCTCAACTGGTTGCGGAGACTCAAGCATGGCATTGTGGGATGCAGGAATAGCATGCACCCCAAGGGTGGGTGCATTACAGCAAGAAAGAGGCATTGTGAATAATCAAGGTCCAGTCTATACCAGCAGGAGACATGTGCAATTCGTTTTGCAATTCGTTTTGCTCTGAATCAAAATTCATAAGAATTTTCCAAAATTTGGACATTCGGACAATCCAAATTACTGTTTCCGAATTTCGGATCCCGTCCTAATTTCGTTCAAACACGAAACTGATCCGGACATGTGTTTAATGCATCCGAATGGGTCTGAATACAAATTTTTGTTATGGTAACATGGGAGCCATATACAGTATATACATATAATACTAAAGCCGAGGCTCCTAGACCCGAATGGCATTCGGGATCCAAATTTGCGAATCGCATTTGCGAGCACCAGATTGCCATTCGGCTCTGGAAGCCTCAGCTTTAGTAATATATGTATATGTCATTTGCGGGGCGAATGGCCGGCCTTCGGCAGGCCGTTCGCTCTGCTCATGCTGACAGTTCGGCTCAGTCCAGCCTTCGGCTGCTGTATTGGGAATAGCCCGTACAGCAGCCCTTCGGTTCGACTAAAACAAAGGGCTCCGGCGGCCGAAGAGAGCCGAAGGATAAGCCGAAGATACGGCTGGATCCTTCGGCTCCTTTATGAATAGCCCCCTAAGTCTTAAGAGGTGTATGCCACTACAGGATCTCCAGAGCAGCGGTCGCCAACTGGTGGTCCGCAAGAAAATTTTGGTGGTCCCCGGGCCCCTCTGATGCCGTGCAGGCTGGGCCGTCATTGAAGCGGCACGGAGGCTCCGGGGCTGCCTCTCACTGACTCAAGCAGAGGCTGTCACAAGGAATGCGCGGCTCTCAGTACAGTGCGGGCTCTGCAGGAGGAATATATATATATATATATATATATATATATATATATATATATATATATATATATATATATATATATATATATATATATATATATATATATATATATATATATACACACACACACACATGAGAATATATTTAAAAAAAAATCATATTAGTGGTCCGCGGGATTTAAAATGATGAATTTATTGGTCCATTAGGTCAAAAAGGTTGGCGACCGCTGCTCCAGAGTATCCTTGGCTCAACAGTGGACACAGTAGATGTAGGAACTGAAATTAACCTGCTTACTCTTTTAGCCTACAAGCATGTTTTCGGAGTGTGGAAGAAAACCAGAGCGCTCAGAGGAAATTCACGCAAGTACTGGGAGAGCATGCAAACTCCATGCAGATATTATCCTGGCTGGGATTTGAACCAAGGACTTCAGTGCTGCAAGGAAGTCATGTTAACCACAAAGCCTCAAAGCTGCTGCTGCTGCTGAACCTAATAAATTCACCCATATTGCTCTGTATTACAACCTACTAGCAGCATGGATGGGTAAGGGCTGCATCACAGCGCCACCTACTGCCCGCATTTCAGTATGCAGTATATACAGTGTGTTGAGTGGCCAAAGAATTTGCTCCCAGAAGGCACGGCCGAAAACTAACCGCTTGTGGCTGGCCCTGACCCATGGCCCATGTTGATCACCTATGTGACCTACTAACACATCTCACTCTCTATCACAAAGCACTGCTGAGAGTCAATGGCATTGTGCAATAGCTGTGAATTCTTATTTTATTTATTGCAGGGTTCATTGAACTGGATGGGCTTGTGTCTTTTTGTTTTTCAACTTGACTAACTATGTAACTTACTGTATATCACACGTTAAAAAGAGTGACTGTGAGACATTAAACATGTTTATGTGTTGTTTATTGTTACGTGTTAAAACATCAAATAATAATAACATACATAAAAGGGGAAGAAAAAAAAAATTAGGGTTGCACAGATACCAAGTACAGTACTCGGTACAAGTACGAGTACATGTACCGATACTTTTGAGCTCCAAGACTAGACTAGAGAAAAATTCAAAAATTAGGAGGCCGCTGTCATTTGTAAGGAGCACACGGAGCTCCCGGGATTTGTACATCTCTGTTTTAATGTACGATTTTGTTTTTATAAATATAAATAAAGGGATGCACAGATACCAGTTTTGCGAGTACGAGTACTGGTACTTGCCGAGTACTTACAAGTACGAGTACTGATACATTTTTGTTTATTGTCATGTGACAGTTTTTCTAAAACAATACAGACTAATGATTTCAGGACAATGGTGGAGTGCCAGAGCCCGGTCCCAGCTGCAACCTCTGCAACCCTTGTAGTTCTCATGAAAATGCCAAGTATCTGCACTGGTACTCGAAAAGTATCTGTGCATCCCTAAAAAAAATCTTGCATCATTTACACATTTTTGATTCTTGTTTACATTGTTTTCCTATTCAAATAACAACAAAGTTAAAGAAGAAAAAAATTAGAGAAAAACACATGCAGGAGAACCATTTCAGCTTTAAAGGAGAACTATGAGGGGGGTGCTTTTCACTCACCTCATAGTTCTAGCCAACCTGTGACAATGAGACTGTCACAGGTCGGCTCAGTAGATCGGAAGGTGAGCGAACACATACCGGCGTTCACTCACCTCTCGATCCTATCACGGCTCTTTGCCGTGACAGGGGAGGGGCTGGATTCCCTCCTCCCCGCTCCGATCCTCCAGCGCTGACTGGCGGAATGGACGGGGGAGGGGGCAGGTACAGCTGGCTCTGCCTCTAGATAGGCAGAGCCAGCTGTCACTCACGCAGCTGGGCGGATCCGGACATAATTGTCGGGATCTGATTCAGCTGCGGCGTCTCAGTATATAGAGAGCTACAGGTATACTGAGATGCCGCAGCTGAATCGGATCCCGACAATTATGTCCGGATCCGCCCAGCTGCGTGAGTGACAGCTGGCTCTGCCTTTTAGGGTGACAGGAGGACGCTAGTTTGTGTCCTCCCATCACCCTAAGGAGAACTATGGGGAAAAGCCCTAACCGCATAGTTCTGCTTTAAAAACCACCTTAAAGCAGAACTCCGTGCAAATGAAATCTTCACGCTTGCAGTGGTGCTGCCACTGGGTTAAGTGCTTGCTTTGTCTAGGAAGCTGAAAATAAAAAAGTTACCTGTTCCTTGGAGCGGGCTTGCTCCTAGACCGCCACCCTTATTCCGCAGTCCCCCTCTGCTCCAGCGGTCTAAGATCCTGTGAGTCATCACGTTCTATATACCGTGTTTCCCCGAAAATAAGACACTGTCTTGTACTTTTTTTGGCTCAAAAAAACACACTAGGTCTTATTTTCGGGGTAGGTCTTATTTTTTGTTAATGTACAACAATCCACACTTATTCATGTACAAAAATATGGTGATCAGGGCAATCAGGTGTGCCGTACCTTTCCAAGAGCAATTTGGTAACCAATCGTTGGCCAGAATGAGCAAAGCGCACTTTCATTATCAATTCCTCACAGGCGGAGTGCATTTGGTATCACTGCGCCTGTGACAGGAGCCGGTGCTATAGAGGAGGCATCGGCTTATGCGGCTCTGCTCCCTCCGCTGCCGCCTTGCTCCCTCTAGCGCTGGCTTCATTGGCACCGCTGATTCTCTCCCGCGGCTCTTCAAGTTCCCCCTTATTCCACCGGCCCTGGGAATGGTCACAACTAGGTCTTATTTTCGATGTAGGTCTTATATTTTAGCAATTCCCCAAAATAGTACTAGGTCTTATTTTCGGGGTAGGTCTTATTTTCGGGGAAACAGGGTAGTGTATAGAACATGAGGACGCTGAGGGACATACCATCACTGGAGAGAAGCAGGAGACAGGCTGGGGGGAGCGATGTAGTATCCAGCTTGGCTCGTGGTTCAGGTGAGTATATCTTTTATTTTTTAGCTGCCCAAACAAAACAAGCAATTCACGCTTGCAGTGCATGTGTAGCCCCATTGCACAGGTTAAGATTTCATTTGCCCGGAGTTCTGCTTTAAATCATCTTAATCTCATTTCACCTTTCTAATGATGACATGAAGGCAAAATGCCTCGTTATAAAACACATATCGCCATGTAAGCAGAGGCGCCTTGTTGTTATAATACATATAATTAGGAATGCACCGATACCAAGTACAGTACTCGGTACAACTACAGATACTTTTCCAGCTCCAAGACTAGACTAGAGAAAAACTCAAAAGTTAGGAGACAGCTGTCATGTGTAAGGAGCACACGGAGCTCCCGGGATTTCTACATCTCTGTTTTAAAGGAGAACTATGAGGTGAGTGCTTTTCACTCACCTCATAGTTCTAGCCGTCCTGTGACAATGAGACTGTCACAGGTTGGCTCAGTAGATCGGGAGGTGAGCGAACACATACCGGCGTTCGCTCACCTCTCGATCCTGTCACGGTGCTCTGCCGTGACAGGTGAGGAGCTGGATTCCCCCCTCCCCGCTCCGATCCGCCAGCGCTGACTGGCGGAACGGACGGGGAGGGGGCGGGTACCGCTGGCTCTGCTTCTAGATAGGCAGAGCCAGCTGTCAGTCACGCAGCTGGGCAGATCCCGGCACAATTGTCGGGATCCGCTTCAGCTGCGGCTTCTCAGTATACCGCGAGCTACAGATCGCTGTATACTGAGCCTAGGGTGACGGGAGGACGCTAGTTTGTGTCCTCCCGTTACCCTAAGGAGAACTATAGGGAAAAGCCCTGACCCCATAGTTCTCCTTTAATGTATGATTTTGTTTTTAGAAATATAAATGAAGGGATGCACCGAT